TCGGCCGCCATGGGGGCAACGCTACTCCCAAAAATCAAAGCGAATTTCTTCTGGAATAAAAACCCCGCATGGAGCAATCACGTTGAAATGGAGACGCTTTTCTTCCAGCACGGTCTCAGCCCGACGCTCGCGCTGCCGCAGCCCGGCTGAACAGCTTGCCCAAAGAGCGAAGCGCATGGCGCTAATTGCCTAGCTCCAATTTCGGTGCCCCCCGCTACAGACTCAGGGGTGTTCGTAGAAAGATGCTCTTCGAAACACCCTGAAGAGCAGCTGCAACAGCCCCCCAGGCGATACATCCACGCAAGGGCCCTTCATTACAAGCTCATGCAAATTTACGCTGATTACTAAATTCTGGATCCGATCGTTTTACCATGACTCAAAGTTTTTTCTTTTTTTTTTTTTTTTTTCCCCAGTGAGAAATTACACACTTGGAAGTTATTCCTCTTGCCATTGCTTCCCCCCTTTGCAGAGTTAAACAGCATTCTCCATACCCAAACGCAGAGGATTATTTTAGAAAAGATCTTCATCTCGGGAGCCCGAATCTTACGCCTCACGCTCCATCGGGTGCCTCCCATTCACCGGCGCTGGGGACGGCGGCGTGCCGGGAGCAGACGGCTGCTCGCTTTTCTGACAAACTGGAAGCAGAATCATGTGAAGTCCCCGCTCTTGGCAGGAAATTTTTAGCAATAAGTAGCAGCTTTATGAGGAATATCCTTTGCCAGGGGACCATCAGCCAGACGGCTGCTCGCTGTTCGGACAAAGTGGAAGCAGAATCATGTGAAGTCCCCGCTCTTGGCAGGAAATTTTTAGCAATAAGTAGCAGCTTTATGAGGAATATCCTTTGCCAGGGGACCATCAGCCAGTGAGCAGTGGGATTCTTATTTTTTAATGGACTTTTAATAAGTAGGCCACAATGATCATCTTGACACCAGAGTAGCTTTATTTCTACGTGTAATTATCTTCACTTCGCTCTCCAGCTACCCGCAGCCTCAAAGAGCAAACAAGACCACCAACCTCTCCGTGAGAAAAGGAGCAAGAAAGCAGCACAGAGCCACTTGAAACGCTGCTTGTATCGGGCCTCGTCCACTCCTCTCATCTGATATCAAAGTCAACCTCTCCTCCCCTCCTCTAAATCAATTACACCTCACTTTTGGCGTTTAACCGCTCCCACCAGCTTCTGGCAGGACTTTTACCATCACATTCCTCCCTTCGTTACCTTAAAATCCCACCCTAAAACCCCTCTCGGCCCAGCACAGCCTCCCTCCGTGGGGCCCCGCCCCCCCCCCCCTGCCAGCCCCTGCCGTCTCCTCTCCGCGGCAGCGTGCCCTTCCCCAGCCCGCGCTCCTCCGCGCGCAGCCTCGCAGGCGAGGGATGCAGGCGACTCGCGGAGATGCTGGGGGTAGCACTGCACCGAAGCGTGCGTCCCCAGACCTCCCAGGAGCTCCGCGGGAGAGCTGCTCCGGGCTGGATTTTAGGCAGCAGCTCGTGTTCTGCACCTCTCTCCTGCTGCTGTTTGCGCAGCCAGCCCTTGGCTCTCAAAGCTCCTTCAAGCATCCCATCTTCCACCTGAGCACCCAACAGTAACGGGACATATTCACCGCTTCGCTTTTCCCCCCAGAATCACTCATAGAATCATAGAATCATAGAAAGTTTTGGGTCGGAAGGGACCCCTAGAGGTCATCTAGTCCAACCCCCCCGCAGCGAGCAGGGACACCGCTAACTAGATCAGGTTGCTCAGAGCCCTGTCC